GCGAGCAAGCGAACGAGCTTGTCATCCACATACAGGGCATAGTCAGTTTCCATCATATGAACAACATTTTCTCGACAGCAGATGGAAGCGTTCGCCGTAGACAGAAAATCCCAGCCTAATATAATTGGTGGGCACACGAATTCAGCACAGCAATTGTACAAAATGAGGAATACCAGCTATGAAAACACGAGCGGTGCACATAGCGGCAGGTCTAATGGCGTCCCCTTGAGCAGCGTGCAGTGTCGGTCCAGGCGTCGAGTGTGCGGGCAATCGGTTGTACCACGGGTGGTGAGCCAGCGAGGACTTGTGCGTACGTCGGCTGGAGTCGAGGTACTGGAGAGTCTACATACGCTGGCCCGGTCATGGACGCACCTCCTCTTTGATAACATCCCGCAAAACAGTGTTGGACGGGGAGGTGGACTCGGTGTCATTGAGAGGCCGATAGATTGCAGCTCTTCCCGTATAATCTCCCGGATCATGGCACGCAATGAGGCATCAGCCGTGTAGTGTTTTCAGAGCTGTCCGGCGGTAACTGTTGGGATTCAAGTTCCTCTAGGCGTTGACACGTGGCAACAACGTCAGCGACTGTACTCGGGTTTCGAATGACAAGGCATTGAACACGACCGTGCCTATCCCTTTCAATAGGTGACGAACTCTCTCTGATTCAGACGTGGACGTGCTGAAACGGTGACAGAGAGCAAGCACATCCTCTGTGTACGATGTGTAGGACTGACCGCATTGTTGCTTGCGAGAATCCAGTGTCTTCTTCGCGAGAGCTGAACGAACCGCCGGGGTGGCCAAAAATTTGGCGAAGCTGTTGCTTGAAACGTGTCTAGTCCGTAATGTCCGTTCATGATTGAAAAACCATGTTTTCGCTACGCCTGTGAGATAGAAAGAAACACGGCGAAGCTTGGTAGGATCATCCCAGTTGTTAGTGGAACTCTGCTCGATTGAACTGGTCCAACCAATCCTCCACATCTCACCTCGAAGTCCGGCGAACGTGGCGGCTCACGCTGGTGCGCGGTGGATAATCCACGATGGATAGGCCGTGGTAGCCGGGGCCGTGGAGGTAGACGCAGAAGCGCCGGCTGGCTCGTCCTGAGGCATGTTACCGGACACCTGGCACAAACGACGACCTGAGCGCAGCTCCAGGAGGCAGATCGGGCTGGGAGAGGACGGAAGATCGTAGAGCACACTCCACCACTTGTTGATGTAACGTGAAGGCAACCTTTATTAGGCCCAGAAACACGATGAAGCGACCACGCCCAAGGCACAGAACTCAGACAAGCCAAGTCCCCACAGCAGAAGAAGATGACGACCGCTCATGATGATGAATATGTGTAAGGATAGATGATGTGCTTAATGAATGCCTACAATATATATATATATATATATATATATATACTTCTGCCTACGACTTCACATAAAATAAAAAAATCAATACTATGCCAAGCATGAATGAGGGAAGTTGATTGGTCACTTTGAAACCAGCACAACGTTACGAGGCGGACTTAAGTTATTCCGTGCATGACTAAAATGTCATGATTACCACACTTGGATGTGTCATTCACCTTCACCGCCTAGAATATTCACGTCACGTGATGCCGAATTTAGTATCACGTGACGTGATATGTGGAGCTAGCGATATGGCCCCGAGCACACTATGAGCATAGCATGTTGTCATGTTTTACATGGCGCGCATGTCATGATTGTCATGTTTGAACGGTTTATTTACCTTCGTCATCCATTCATGACCCGTAATGCAAAATTGGTATATGTGGAGCTAGAGAAAGCACCACGAGTGCATCATGAGCATGTTATGTTGTCATGTTCTTACATGACACTCATGTCATGATTATCATGCTTTAACCAGCCATGTACCTTCAGCATCCATTGACGTCACGTGACACCAAACTTTGTATATGTGAAGCTAGCGAAACAACCGCCAGCGCACCTTGAGCATGGCCTGTAGTCATGACTAGTCGTAACACTGAGATCATGACATGCATGTCATGATTTCCATGTTAGTGCCTGTCATTATGTTCGCCATGCAGTGAAATCATACCATACCAGTTTTCTAAAAGGTCAAGTGAACGTAAGCACCGCAAGAGCAGCAAGACCATGAAATGTAAATCACGACATTCATGACATACATATAATGATTTTCATGTTATGATTATTCAAGTATGTTCTTCATGCCGTTATGTAATGTCATACCGATTTGGTATCGATACCATTATGGAGACGGCTAGGAGAGCTGAGAAAGTCGTAGGCGTCTAGATAGATAGATAGATAGATAGATAGATAGATAGATAGATAGATAGATAGATAGATAGATAGATAGATAGATAGATAGATAGATAGATAGATAGATAGATAGAAATGCTCAATGTCGCCGAAGTTCGCTAAAATGCTTCGCATTTGAAACGAAGACATCATGCTGCTCATTGTTGTTGGAAAACATTCGGCAGACCCTGAAGACTACCGGCCATGGTGATCTGGTGGCTAAATGCATTCGGCTGCTGCACTACAAGCAAAAAAAAAATCAGCATATTCATGGAGTGAACGATGATGAGTGGGCGATGCACCAGAGGTTCATCAGTAGAACCGTGCATCTTCCGTGAATCTTCCCAGTGCATCATCGAACACCTGACGAAGAGTGTGTCACTCGTTGCGCAGTGACTTCGAGCGAACGAGGTAGCGTGCTTAGAGCGACCGCATTTTCTTATAGCGTTTGCTCCCAAGCTGTTTCCCCATCACACTAACGCGCATCGAAACTTCTCGAACACCCCCCCCCCCCCCCCGCATCGTTCAACGAGATCCGGGCCGGGGTAGTAGTTAGCATATCGGGATTGCAATAAGCAGTGCGTGTAGATGTCGAAGGTTCGAGTGCCTCTCGGTCAGTTTTTTCAGGCGGTGTTATTTTGTAAATGCGGAGCATTTCTTAATCGCGCCATGTCGTGCGTCGGCAGCAATGTCCCCCACCCCCCCGCCTCTGCGCATACTCGCGCCTCGCGTATTGTGCCGCATGCTTGCTTCTTGTGGCAAATGTTCTCCCCCTCTCCCCCCCCTTCTCTCGCCTCGCAAGGCCGACGCAGGGAGCGCCTGCTAGTAAAAACCGACGTCCATTGGCCACCCCGTACAAGAAGGCACTGGATCGCGCGTTAGGAATTCAGTCAGGAGCGTCTCTTCACTAGACTTTCGCTTGAAGGCAGCACTTTTCCTTCATTCACTAAATGAGGCGCATAAAGACGAAATAACAATTAAGCATTACCAAACCATACCAAATTACTGAACAATCACACGATACCCCTACTACTCTGGAACGCATTTACACGAGTTATCCCCGTCATAAGTTGCGGGTGGGTTTTTTTCGTTTCTACCGCCACGGAGGAATGCCAATGATGGTTAATTGAACTTTAACTGAATGACGGTGTGTACACAGACACGGACAAAATAACACACACACACGCAAAATGGGGCTATAAAACAAGTGCCTGAGATGATATCCTCAGAGTCTCCTACACTGAGGATCTGGTTTCAAGCACGTATTTTATAGCCTCATCTTGCGTGTGTGTGTGTGTTTTTTTCTGTTTTTCCTGCCAGGTCATGTAACAGAAGAGATTTATATGTGCCTACTTTTTGTTCCAATAACCTTTAGTTGTGAGTGGTGCTTTTTTTGTGTGCATTTTCTTGTTATAAGGTCTGTGTATGTGTGCGTGCCATTATTCAGTTAAAAGTGAACCAATACCAACTAGCCCAATTATCCGTGCTACTGCTTTATTCAAGTTTCAAGTTTATTTGAATTTCAGCTTATTCATTAACATTACATGTACAAAAACGAGTTATCTACCGCATACACAATCGGGATGTCCTAAAGTACGAGACTGTCAAGGAGACGGCCTACGATTTGAGGCGTATAAAAATTAACAGCAGGAAAAAGGGGGAGCAAAATAAAATGCAGTCAAAACACAACTATCTATGCAAAAAAAAGAAAAGGATATATATACTATAACTACATTATACAAAACCTAAAAAACATGACAAAACTGTAAGAATGATGAAAATAAATTTATATCAGATGAAAAAAAGAATCAACCGATATGCAATTCATGTTGTGTTTAAAAGATTGCAATGACCGAAATGATTTAGTACGAAGAGGCATGCAATTCCACAGATGTATACTATAGAAGCGAGCTGTAAATCTTCCACTGTTCAACCTTATTTTTGGTAAAAGAAAGGTATTGTGCCCTGAAAACCTGGTATTATTGTTGTTAAAAAGGCATCGTGAGGAGTACTATCTAATCGTTTTTCACGATTAATGAAACGGTATGTGATGAAGAACAATCTTTGATAAAAACACTCTAGAATCGTTATAAAGTATGCAGCTGTTAATAGATGGGTTTAGAGTAGGAACGCAATGGGCTATCCGTCATTAATTTTATCATCTGGTTTTAAAGGCGCTGAAGCGGTTGGAGATGAATGGCATATGTGTTACGACATGATGAGAGGCAGTATGATAAATGGCTGTTAATATAAGAAATATAAAGCGAGAAAAGCACAAGAAGTGGAAAGAATGCACATGTTTAAATGCGAATGCTGATAGCAAATGAAACCATTTGGTGAGTGAGTTGCCATAAACTTTGTATTTAGGGTGTTTATACAGAGTAATACCCGGCCACAATAACAGGGTTGACTTAAAGAATACGAGCACACAGGCCTGAAGCCTGCATCGAATGTAGGCGCGCGAACGAGATTCGATCCCGCAATGTTCCATTGAGCATTCGGAAATGATAAACACCAGACCAACACAGCAGCTAATTTGCCTTACGGTACAAGCAATCGAAAGAATTATCTGTAATCGGGTATCGTTTAGCACGCTTGCTTGTTTCTGATACGCAGCACCACAAGTCGTCGACATTGGTGATAAGGAAGGCACGATACGCCCTGCAAGCTTAGGCGCAGCAGATGTTGCTGAGAGGGTAACGATGGCTAATCGAGGAAACAAGAAAGGGCGGCGTATCGTAATGAAGAGACTTCGATAGAGTAGAACGCCCCCGGCACAAGCCTATTCTTCGACGCGTACAACTGCCCCGAAGATGGTGCTTGCAAACCAGCAATACACGTTGGTAGGCTTCACGGAAGATTTAGACTGGAATCCACTGCAGTTTGTGAATGCCCTTCCCAAAAATAGGCTTTGCAGCCTATGCGGACTGGTACGCAAGACAACCGCTCTTCTGCCATGCGGCCACGTAGCGTGTTCTTCCTGCTACGAACAGTGCAAGGTGGCTGACGGACACGTTTGTCCGATTGATGGACAAAACTGCCTGGAAGAAGACGTCGAGTGGAGAGATTTCCCTGCTGAAAATCTGCTGAATAGAGAGGTAAGCCAGCCATGAAAGATTACAGCTATTAGGTTTGGCGGTGAGAGAAAAAAGGGAGCTTGTTGTAGACGCCGAAAAAAAAACAGCGCTTTTCTCCAGGCTTGGAACACTTTACAGAATTCGAGATAAGGACGCCAACGTTTAGAGAACTTCTTTTGAACGTCTTTTTTAGCTTAGCTATAGCCGAAAGATAAATAAAGAATATGAACCAATCAAACTCGCGAAAATTTAAACGAGCCCAAGGACTGTTATGCACCGCCAAAAATAATTTGTATCATAAGCGTTATATCCATCAGTAGCCCCATGCTTTTAATTGACCCTATTGAAAGCAGTGCACAAATAAAATCAATGATTTGCTGAAGATGTGGCCTCTGCCGGGCTTTGCCTAATAATTATAGACAATAAATAAAATGAGGGGACCCTAAAGATTCACCTTTAGGAGTTGAACGCGATAGCGACATCATGTGCTTCTAGTTCGTATTTCAAAAACTTATTACAAGAAATCTTTTCGAATTTGCTATGCACCTACTATACGTGGCCTTAAAGGAATAGACGCTGCAGCGTGTGTGTCATTTGCAGTTGGGTGCTGGCTTTCAACCACGAAACCATCACGATAATCACAATGTCTGACACCCTTTGGGAATGAACGATTGTAATATTTTACGTTGCATTGTGAAGCCTGTATACAGGACGCGTTTGTTCGTGAAGCATTAAAGCTACTTTCCCTTGATTATGAAGAAGAGAAACTTCTCTTGTTTTCACAAGTAAAGACGTGGCCGTGTTGTAGGACTTCCGCTTGCCACGCAAACGATGCGCGTTTAATCCCCATCTAGACCCGAACAATCATGGTTTGGTCCCCACTCTGCTCTAGAACTTTCTCACCATTTGTATATTTTATTTGAGACGTTATAATTTTTGGTGAGGCATTGGGTGATGTTTTTTTCACTCGCAACCAACGACGGCAACACCAGAATCACTGCGAAACGAGCTCTTCAACGCAAGCGCGTTGAAAGTGTATCAGGCCCAGTCACTGCGGTGTGAAGGTTACCGTGTTCCACTGTTGACAGACTGACATGTAGGAAGACCATATCATGGACACGATGACCGGGTTTCACGAAGGTAAAGTGTTAGGGGCTCTTGTGCTTATACTTATTGCGCACTTCATAAAGAACCAAGGGGGTCTAAACTAACACATCCCTCCAGGACACCATTCCTCGTAATCATACCGTGTATTTAGGAATAGAAAGCTGCAGCACTAATAAGCCAGGTATATCTGATTCACAAACGTGCTTCGGTACGACAAATAGATAAGTATCTCATACGCGAGTGTGTCACTATAGAAGCTAAACAATAAATGTTCAGAACCGTGTTCTGCTGAGGACATCAGTGTTGCGCTGCCGTTCGACGTGAGCGGTGGCGCTTAAATTAAGTAGAAAACCAAAACGACTTATTTTTCGCCGGCATTGAACGCGCATAGGCGAAACATCACTGTGATGTCATGAGTGATGGTTTGTGACACAGTCCTTCACTTTCATGGGAACTGAGTGCGAGAATAAAAACGCAACTCGCTGAAGCTGACAGCACCGTTTCCGCTAATAGCTTCCGGCTGCCAAGATGAAAATAACTGACAAGCGAAGCAGTGTCTTCCTGATGTTACTGATAAGGTCTGGAGATAAAACAGAACAGTGCAAAGCCGGCAGGAGGGTCACCGAGGAAGCACCCGTTTGCCACTTAAAAGCACCGTGTAATAGTATACATAGACATGTGGTGACACTCTTCCCGCAAGGCATTGAAATGCGCAATGTCAGAAAGTTCAGATAATGTTGGGGCCGTTATCAGCTATTTGCAGCTCCATCGTCGTCTTCTTGTGTGGCGCCACGGCGAGGGAGGTCCGCCATGTGGACAGCACGCTCGGCAGAAACGCACATGCTTATAATTCTGGGTCTTTTTGGTGGTTGTGTGAGCGCACTGCTATGAAGCCAGGATACCACTTGTTTGCGCGGGTTTAATGCTATTCCATGGATAAAAGTGAAATCGAATTACTGAAAGGTTGCCGTTCTGGATATGGGACTCGCGCGGAGCGCGTGCCTTTTTCAAAGTGCTGTCCGAGTTTCATCGTCTGGAGCAGTGGCTCAGTGCAATACCGAAACCCGACCGAACTATAATGTCTACGGAGCATGTCTGCGGCAAGCATTTTTCACAAGACGTGCTTTCAACAGAATTTCACGCGGAGTTCGAGGGAAAGTGTGTTAACAAGATCAATATCTGGGCACGCTGGTATTTCATGAATAAGATTGGTATAAGCGCACTGAAAACGAGGACACAAAGAAGACACACACGCACACACACACATAAGCGTCCCTCTACTCGTTGAAGGCAACGCTTCTGATTCATTCAATAAGAATATTAAAGTCGAACTATGCAACAAACGCGGTATTACATGATGCGCACAGACGAAGGATGTAATGACACGTACGTTTATAGTAATGATGACATGCGTGTCGTGTAAAACATGACTACATGCTACGCTACTAGTAAGCTCGCGGCTGTTTCGCTAGCTTACCACATGACAGGAATCGAAGCCGAAGGTGCCAGCATGATAATAATGATATGCGTGTCATGTAAGAATATGAGTATACCAAGCTCATGATTCTCTTGTGGCCGTTTCATTCACGTCACATATGCCTATTTCGTATTACGCGACGTGAATGAACGATAAGGGTAAATGAGTCCAGACATGATACTAATGACATGTATATCATGTAAATCATGACTACATGCTGCACTGATAGCGTGCTCCTGGCCGTTTAGCTAGCTTCACATATACCAAATTTTATATTACGTGACGTGAGTGAACAATGAACACGAATGTCTGGCGCAAGCTTGACACTCATGACATGGAAGTCATGTACGGCATAATTTACATGCCTACCGCTGTCGGTGCTAGTATTGAAAACGTTTTTTTTATTGATATGATATATAAGGAGATGTTGGCGCACCATTATGGCGCCGGCTACTTCTTAGCCGTTGATTGAAACTTGAACACGTATCTTGAAGCAAAACATACAAAGCAGTGCATGGAAAATAGAAAACTTGGGCACAGATATGCAAAGACACACTTATACGCACATAACGCAATGGTAAGTAAATGTTCGAAAGTCAACGTAAGAAGTCTCTGGAAATGTCCCTCATTAATATTCGGCCCACCAGCACAAAACAGCAGAGCACACGTCTGGTCCTTAAAAAGATGGAATCACTCGTATGTACATAATAGTCAACACGTCATTCATTTCACAACACACGCGCGATGAGTGTCACATGATACTGTACATAATAAGTACATGTGTTACAAATGAGTTTGTTCTTTGTTAATACTTGTCAGCAATCCCGCTCTCTCGCAAAACGTGTTAATGCTTTTAAAGCGTGTGACTGTAAAACTCCAGTTGGCCACGGGCCTAGAAGTGCCTTCATGTTAAACGGTCGGTGATCTAATGCCAACAGTTTTGATTTAAGACGGCGTGTGATGATGTAGAAAGTCTACGAGAAGGTGACATACATCTTTATCCATAAATATCTATAAATACACATTCGTATTTGGGATTTTCAGCTCTGCCAATCCTGTGCAAAAAAATGCTTTGTGTATGTTGTGCCTAGATTCGATCGGTGAATAAAAGTTTCCATACATCTATCTAATGCTAGCGTAATTTCTAATCGAATGAATGGATCGATATGATTAAATCACAGCTCTTTGTACTTTAGTCAAACCAAGAAGTTTTGCTCATTCTGAAGGTTAGAACATTTATAATACTACACAATTTATTTTTCGTAATTGGTAAAGAAACAGTAACAACTTTACGATGTGCTTGTCGTGCCGCTCCATCGGCCGCTGTGTTTCCAGGAATGTTGCAATGGCCAGGTATCCACTGGAAAATGATCTCCTGTTGCGCCTTCTTTGCTTTGGTGAGCTCTTTCAGCGTTTCGTATGTCATACTATCACTTAAGACTGTCCTGTTTGTACTGGAGAGTAATCTTAATTCGGCCTGTGAGTCACTGAAAAGTACCCATTTTCTAGCGTCTGCTACCGAGCTTATAAACTTTAGAGCATACAGAATAGCGAAGAGCTCAGATGTAGTAGATGACGTCATGCGACATAATTTAAACGATTCCTGAATATTGAGCTGTGGTATGACAAATGTCGATGTTGAAGACGTTGTAGTACTTTAGCCATCTGTGTAAATGTGTATGTGCCCTGGATACCGCATGTGTATCTAATAAAGCGCTAGTTGTTGAGCAGCTTGGATGAACATGTCTCTATTTCTGATAATGCCATCCATCGAGAATTCAATGCCTGGTATTGCGAGCAGCCATGGAGGATAGTCCATTTCAGTGCTCCAAAATTGCCCCGCCGCGGTGGTCTAGTGACTAAGGTACTCGGCTGCTGACCCGCAGGTCGCGAGTTCGAATCCCGGCTGCTGCGGCTGCGTTTCCGATGGAGGCGGAAACGTTGTAGGCCCGTGTGCTCAGATTTGGGTGCACGTGAAAGAACCCCAGGTGGTCGAAATCTCCGGAGCCCTCCACTACGGCGTCTCTCATAATCATATGGTGGTTTTGGGACGTTAAACCCCACAAATCAATCAGAGCTACAAAATTCATTTCTGGGTAATATATGTACATTACTCTGTACATCATTATGAGCATTGCTTTCATCTCTCAGTAAAATCTTCAGTGCCAATGGGTGGTCCTTGTGTTGCGTCTGTAAGCGAAAAAAATGGCGGCATGTTTCAATTGTTCTCATGACTGGAAAGGGTGGTTGTCGAGTCTCTGCTATGACAAGGCTGTTGGAAGTCGCTCGTGGAACACCTATGCAGACGCGCAGTCCCCTTGCTAATAGTTTTTGAAGTCGCTCCTCTGAAGTGCGGGAAAGGCCGTGTAAGACTGCTGCAGAATATGCAACTTTTTGTCGTATTAAAGCATTGTGAACAGCAAGCATGGATGATACAGATCCACCCCATGATGTCCCAGCAATTCTGCGGAGTATATTCACTAGCGTATTCACCACGTTTTCGAGTTTCTTTATGTGAGGTGCCCATGATAGCTGCCTATCAAGTACTACCCCGACAAACCAATGCTGTGTTGCAATCACTAGTGGTTCTCCTTCTAAATTGAGATTGAAGTTCTTTAACTTCTTACTTTATTGAAAACGTTGGCTGTGCCATCGTTTTTTAGTACGTTTGTCCACTAAAACACACACACACACGCACATGCACACGCACACACACACACATATATGTAGTTTAAGCTATTTATTTTCTGCAACATTTTTTGTAGACCTGTTTGCCTCTCTAATGCAGGTTCAATGCTGGAACCAGCAACATGGTTGCACACTCATGATGGCTGCCTCAGAAGTCCACAAGCACTTCCACCGGGAATGTCAGTACCACATCACAACCTGCCCAAGATGCTCGGCGACGGTTTTGTGCCGTGACATGGGCGAACATGCAAGAGCTTCATGCAATGACCATGCAGCACCTCAAGAAATGAAGTGCGAGGAAAAGCCGGGCCACGCTATGGTGACCGAAATCCTCGAAGGTGTCAGGAGAGCACTGCAAGAACAGGCGCACGAAATGAAGGAGCATCTAGAGCGAGTATGTGGGGAAAACGGCACCCTTCACAGCAGGCTAATTGAGGTTTCTCAAAGTGTTAACTCTCTCAAGGAATTGGTGGGGCAAGGTATTGCTCCTTTGGGAGAACTCAGTGGCGCGGCACATCACTTGTTGAATGGCGTCAACACACTACGTGATGTGGTCAGCGGTGGAATGAGCGCAATAAAAAAGCAAAATGGACAGCTTAATCAAGTTAGAGTGGCAATCGAAGGTGTGAAAAAAGATGCAGGTGCAAGTACGAAGAGAATGCTTGAGATGCAGGAGAGAGCTCTCGCACACGCTGATAGAAATGAAACGCGTTGTGACTTCATCGTTCCAGTAATAGGTTGGCTTCAAGCTAAGGCGTTGAAAGACGGCGCGAGCGAATATGTCCACAAAAAACGGGTATATCTTCGTGGTTACAACATATCACCTGGCGTTATGCTGAAAAAAAGTGGAGAAAACGTGTTACTTGGGATGAGGCTTAAACTAAACAAAGGTGATTATGACGATCACATTGCATGGCCATTTCAGCACAAAATACGTTTTACTATCTTACATCCTGACAAGGGCGAAGATAAAGAGGTAGTACACAACTCGTGCCGCACTATGAAAGCGCTTGAGAAGTCAGCTTTAGCAAATAACCAATTCGCTTGGTTTGAGGCATTTGATCTAGGAGACCTGAAAAAAGACGGATATGTCCACAACGAAACTTTGCGCATCACGTGGGAGGTCCTTTGATTGTCACTAGAAAGAATCGCAGAGTTTGAGGTTGAAATTATGTACAGCGTACAAAGAGTGGCCTAATACGCATCGTTATTTGTGATATATCTGCATGACTTACTTCCTTTTAGCGGTTGAGCACAAAAACGTGACATTTGGCAAAATTTTTCGAAGTTGGGATCTGTGAGAGGCTCTGAGTAACACGCAGTTCTTACTACTTTTATTTACTACTTTTATTTTTATTTACTACTTTTATTTAAATACAACACAGATGGTTGATGCTTTATTTAAGAGATCTAAATATTACGCACCGCCTATACCTAAGTGTACACGATGGGACTGGGTATTTCAGATGGACCGATTTGCTGGTCATGGTTAGCATTTTAACTATGAGTACTCTCAACTAAAATGAAAAAAAAAAAACATTTGATGTACAGTAATATTCTGTGTATCTATTGTGGCTCTGTGCTGCCAAATCATACTACCTTTTGGGGGTGGTCGCATTTAATTTCCATTTACTTTTCGCATTGTTTTTGTAGAATAGTAGCTTTCTTTCTAGCCGTTCGCCCACTACGCTTGCATCTTCACTCTTCACATGAATGATATCTTGGTTTATACAAGTAGGCATTGCGTATATGACTATATATCTATAATATTTTACTGACAAGTAGTCTTTCAGTAGGTTGTGTAAGTTACGCTTCCCTGTATTCACGAGCTAATCACACCTTGTGTCTTATGCCTGTGTAATTGTTTCTGCAAGACGGAATAATAAGTGTGAGAGGTTATTTCTTGCTTTTTTTTCTGGTGGAACACGTTTGTCCCCGCTTCCCACAGGCTCATACTCAAATCACATATGCAGTAACAATATCAACAAGTACCTAATTGAGGTAGCAACTTCCCAAACGCGTTCACACACGCACGCACACGCACACGCACATACACACGCACATACTCATACACATACACATACACATACACATACACACACACACACATACACGCACAGTGCATTTCACCGGTAGCTTAGATATAGAGTTTCAGCTAACATTCATAAAAATTCATGTTGGGTCCACAGGGCTTTATACAGGTTTTTCAAGCCTGAATATTGAATTGTGTCCGGCGTCGAGTAGAAGTGTGTGCCACTTAGCCGCCGGAGAACAGCCGTTCTTGCTGAGACCCGAGACCCCAAAAAGCGGAATATACTCGACTTCGTTAGTGCAGGCACACTGAATGCGCTACGTTTCTCGTTGTGCTCCAATACAGTATCTGTCATGCGCGGTAACAGATGATGCCCGGCGTGTGTGTCTCGCCTTCACGCTAAAAAGAAAAAAAGATTGGCACCGAGTTTGTGCGTGCTCAAGGAGGTGGAGGAGGAAATACTTTTATTTAGGGGGGCAATGCGATAGCCCATCTGCACCGGGGTGTTCGATATCTCTAGTCCGGGACGTCATTGGTCGAAGCCGCCGTCTGAGCCCCATTGGACCAGAGTTCGCTCGAGAAATAAAGGAAATGATCAAGCAGTCACTTCCTGCTTTCCAATGTGTTCGGTCGTCTTTCTTACGGTGCTTCGCAATCCACACATATCCGACGGCCCTAATGACACGTCACAAAACCACAAAGTGTAACGTGTACAGACATGCTAATTGTAGCGCTGTAGGTAGCTTAGTAATGTGATCACCGATAACATGAGTAACTCGAGGCACAACGCGCGCACCAAAGATACCGGGCCGCAGGAACACATGATTGTCAAAAATCAGACATGAACTCCGAACCATTATCCCGGTTTCTAACGAGAAGACATGGCTAACCGGGCAAACTGGCATCACTGTTATATTCTTGCATATCATATTGCTTCAGAGGGTACCGACGCAAATGCTCAGTGTCGAATATTACCCCAATCATCTCCTCGCCCATTCTACACTGCACTCAAGACGCTCACAAGCGATAAAGCGCATTTCACTACTCGGCGCACAGCAAAAGTTTGGTTCTCGTCCCAATAAATCAGAGAATGCATGCAAGTATGGAGTATCGAAGCACGTGATTGGGCGGGCCGTCGCAGACAATCTTTACGAGCGCGTCTGTCGAAGCACCGCAAAGGCTGCATGGACTGTACAATGAGTGGAGTGGTGGTTCAAGGGGGTGGTCGATGCCTCTATAGTTCACCAGGTGCGCTGTCTGCAGCTGCATTCGCGGCGCCAAGCAGTGTGTCTGCTGTCATGGGATGCAACATGTTAGCTCCCTTCTCACGTGTTGTCAGAACGTGTAAGCTTCTCGTGGACATGGCCTTATGCGAAACATCCCTTAAAGTCAAAGCAATGCAATTCGACGGTCTCATCCCAGCTCAAACAAATTGAAAACGTAGCCACATCGTTTCACTGTGTTAGATAAACCACGTTCGTTTGTGGCAAATAACATTGTAGAGCTTTCTAAGCTCTGGCGCGCCCCGCTACTGTGGTATAGTGGCTAAGGTACTCGGCTGCTGACCCGCAGGTCGCAGAATCGAATCCCGGCGTCGGAGTCTGCATTTTCGATGGAGGCGAAACTTCTGTAGGCCCGTGTGCTCTGAGAACCCCAGGTGGTCGAAATTTCCGGAGCCCTTCATTATGGTGTCACTCACAATCATACGGTGGATTTGGGGCGTTAAACCTCACATATCAACCAATCAATCAATCAATTATTCAATCAATTAATCAATCAATCAATCACACAATATCGAAGATCTATTGCATTGCGTGGCCGGTACAAAGAGGCATGAAGGAAAGCGTGACGGCACAACTGCGCGAAGTATAAACTCGGCTAGCGGTGGCGGTTTTGCTGACGTGCGAAGTAATCATTGCGTGCATGCGCAATGACCACCAAAAGGTGCTCACCATGTTCGACTGATTGATATGCACGCCCCAAAACCACCACATGATTAGGACAGAGGCCGTAGTTGAGGGCTCCGGAAATTTCGACCACTTGGGGTTATTTAATGTGCTCTAAAACGGAGCACACGGTGCCTACAGCATTTTCTCCTCCATCGAAAATGCAAGGTTATCCACACAATGAGCACCATACGTTCACTGCGCGTCAGGCCCAAAGGCTGACGTTGCAGGGGAGCCTCTGTCAATAAAGTTGCGGCGTAGCACGTTAGCTTTCTTGTCGCTTCCTGTGGCCGACATAGAGACTTCTCTTGCATGAAGAAAGACACGGAATAAAGTTGCATCCCTGAAAGCCATTGGTTTCGCCCTTGTTCTAAGAAAGAGCAATTCGTTATATCATTTAGCACCACTTTTAACCACATCCAATAACGGCGAATAATCTTGTCGAGTTTTGTATTATCTGGGGCATTCTGCAAATAGTACAAAGCTTCTTGAGCCAAACAGTGAGCGCGATATTGCAAAAACATGAACGGAGTTAGTGCGGATAATCTACTGCACAGTGGTTCTTAAGCACTGTGCATTGAACAATCAAGCACTGGGCATTGTGCAGTAGACGTATGTTGAGTCTACTAAACAGTGCTCTGCATTGATCCTTAAAGGGTGCCCAACCAGGGGCGTATAAGGTGGGCAACACAATAGGCCCGTGCTCCCCCTTCCCTCACTAAATATTTTTTTGCAATGACGTACAGATAGAAAATCGCCAATGTAGGGGGCGCCCTCTTCGATATGTAGAAGATGCCCACGCAGGAAAAATTCCTGGTGACGCCACCGCGCTCAACCACCCCTCGTTCATGAAGAAGGCGGTGGTTCATTTGCTGCCTTGGCTGTCCTTCGGAGAAGGAATAATTCCTCCTGGCCCCTCATTTCTTAAAAGAACCCGTACAATGCCAGCACTTATCGCATCGCGAATTCACGCTTGTCGGCAGCAGGCTGTTACCTGTGTTTGCGCAGTCGCAAACACAGAAACTGAAGGGATACTCTTTATCTGGCGTGGTAGTCAAGCGAGACAAGCAAGAATCGATGGGAGGCGTCTGCATAACGTTGCAGAGTAGGAGGGGATTCACAACTGATATTATCTTCACTGAACGCCATTCTTGCGTCACCAAGCGCGACAGAAAGACGACGAACGCCAGGAGAGAATATTGCGATCGTATTCTCAATTTGAGGAGGCTGGTGACTGACCATTTATTGATGTTTACTACCATGACGGTCTAACAGTTATGGCGCTTGCCTGACGTGCCGAAGGTATCGGGCTTGATTCCCGAATAGGGTTCATGCGTAAATCCGACCAGTGTAAGCGGGGTTGCGGTAATGTGTGCTATGCACAACTACAGTCCGGAAACAGAAGCTCCGAGTAACCTTCAGTTTAGTGGTGGCTCTTTTTCTTGGAAAGCGGCGGCATACAGAGCGCGAACGAATAGCAGTCCACTGTATATTCTCTTTAACTATGCCGAATAAATAACAAGTTAGCATCTGACGTAAGTAAGCACCCTTTCTTGATGTGTTGACAAAGGCAACGGTCAACATTTAAAAGTAAAGCCGAATTCTTCTCACGCTGCGGTAGCCAATTTGGTCTCTTGACATACTTCATTCATTTCGCGAATAATTAGCGCGAATAACTGCATTCAACATAGTAGTATTAAGCATCACAATAAGAACAGTAAAATCCTAGGAATCTGTACAACTACGTCTCCTATGGCCCGGGGGCTGTAGTGTGAAGAAGCTGCTGCTGCTGTCAACGAGCACTGAACAATTGAACCATGTCAGTGACCGTCTCATTATCTTTACTGGCCCTTGGACGCTCAAAAGGTCTGGCGACAAGACGGAAGTTCTCGCTGCCTTCGTCTTCTTCACCTTCCCAAGTCGTTGTCTCCGACGCGTCCTTTTCGCTGCTGAGGATTCTCCACAGCGTCAGGATAGCCAGGGCGATGAGTAAACCGAGCAACAGCACCGTGAAGGCAAAGAGGGACACAGGCACGTCCAACTTTCTGACGTGCTTCGTCAACTTAGTGTGCTTTGGCGATAGGATGCCGGGCATCCAGCGGACACGGTTACCGCTGCTCGGTGTGCTCCTGTGTCCCTCGACGTCTCGGCCCACGAAAATGGGAGCCACAGCGGGTGTGTCCGGAGAGAAAACGGCCTCGACCGTGGGCGCTTCGGACACTGTCTCTTGTCCCGGTGTTCCTGTTGGCGTCGGCATCATGTCTTGGTAGAAGTTGTACTGAGGGTCTCAGTACATGGGCAAGTCGTCGAGGGCAGCGTCCGCTGCGTTCTTGGCCTGCATTTTCAGCGTGTTTTTCTTCCTTCTTGTCTTTGAGTTGAATGCTTGGTAGGTTGTTCAGAACGTGATGACTTGGCTCAACCCACTGCTCTGTCAAAAAAACACCCACGTTTACCGGGATGAGAGAGGGCAATGACTCTCGCTCACGGTGAATTGGGGCCAAACTGTTGCAAGAGCTCGGCGGGCTGAACATTTGATTGTGTGTGGCTGACAAAAGTATTCTGACATATATCTATAATAATACTTTTCAAATTTGTTAACGTAAAGTTTTTTTACTCCAAGATACCTGTTGTGTGGCACAAGATAGAGAAGCTAAATTAAAAATCCGAAAGAATGCATGTTTTTGACTCTTGTGTAACTGACGCTTCTGATTGAATGCAGAATTCGTTTATATCCAAGCAAAACCTGCAAAACCTCATGACAACGACGAAGAAGAAGGCACACTCAAGGTCGACATAGCCTTTTTCACTTCAGATAGTGATATGCATTCATTAGTCACTCGCTTACAATCGTATATGTGTGCCATTGAAAAATGGTTAAAAGTTATTTGTCTTCATGCTAAAAAAAGCGCAATTATTGTT